AAAACCAAAGTCAGCAGTTTAAAGAACGGACGCGCTGTTGGCCATGTTTTGGCCATTCTTTTCTATTATCTAGCCTTTTGAGAAGCCATTTACGTTTATGGTTTGCCACGCGGATGATTTCGGCCCATTGTGCTCGATGAACTACTTTTTTACAAGAACACGATCTAATTTCTTTCTCCCAGTAACAATCCTGTATAATTGGACTCCCGAAATAGGTTGATTGCTTTTTTTAATTAGTTTTTTACCTTCAAGAAAAAAGTGAAGTGAATTCAGCAGCAACCTTCGTCTTTCTAACGTTGATATTTTTAGTGTATTCCTCTGCGACCTCCTGATTTTTACCCATCATGAGGTGTAAACCTTTAACCGAACTGTCAGCTTTCAGCTGCCAAACGCACTCTTTAATGAGATGGCTTTCCACTTCACTCCAATACCATCGCTTAAGCCATCTCTAAGAATGGATTCAGTATAAATTTTGTAAGATATAAAGGATAACGAAAGTAGCATATGGCGCACCGTTTAGTCTTTTTTAAAGTGAAATCTGGTTAGTGTGAAGTGGAATACATTAGTGCTTATGGGGTTATAGCCTTTTGTCTTACTCTCACGAATATAATGCGGGTAAAATTCCATTAAGATTAGGTCGTGTCCCATAAAGATCGATGATTTTTTTCAAAGTTTATTTTATGTTGTGTGCGTCAGGTCCTTATTTAGATCTGAAGTCACCGTTCAATTAAAATCACTGAACCGTTACTTGATTATGCACGTTCTATTCCCTGCCTCTTTCATTATCCATTGTTGAAAACTTAGGCCCTGTCCACTCGAATCAGAACATTTTTTAAATCGCATCATTTTTATCCGGAAGTACACGATAGCCACCATAATAGTTTTGAACCTCTTTTATATGAAGGAAGTGTCGGTTTTAGAGAGGCGTTCGTTTTTAGGGATCACAAAGGTGACTTTTATTTTAAGACTACACCGACAGTTTTTTATAAGTGTTCAGTAACTAAAAAAACGCTCACATTTGTCTTATAAGTGCATGTGAACTGACTGATATACGGCATTGAGACACCGTCTACCAGTGGTGCATTTCTATCGTACCTCTGCTTACGGGCACTTCTAATACTGAAATCTCTCTATCTGCGACTTTTACGTTGCCCAAGATGTAATTTGTAAATTGAAAAAAGCTTATGTAAAATTGCACTGTGGGGAACTAGAAAGCCGTAGATTACGGTAAGCTTCGTCCTGACGAAATTCTTACATATTTTCTTTAAAAAGCTTTTTATAATACTGATAACGGACACTTAATCTTGGACCCAGAGAGCAAAGTCATGTAAACTTACTTCTTTGTGACGGACACTCCAGAGATCAGTTGATGACAACTTGCCAAGGTGTTTATGCTTACACCAATATCAACGTGTTATTTACTTATTCTCAACTTAAAGTTTGAAAATGAGATTAAAATACGTAACACGTGACCAAAGAGAAGAAATGAGAACGTGTTGAATGCAGCTGAGATGTACATTGTAGTAGTAGTATGCTACTGATAGAATGATAGTCTCAATAACGTACATTTATCAGTTTTGATACACCTACACCTACTGTAAAAGACAAGTGTGGGCCTGATTCAGTCACTGAAGAGTTTAATTAGTGGAGTCTGAAAATGACGATGTCATCGTGGTGACATCCCCTCTAATACGGACACTTTGATCTCTCCATTCGGTGACGGTGCACTGAGAAAGGTTTGACTGTACAAAATATAAACTAGGAGCAATCAGAGCTTAGCAGATAGAGTGCGTTCGATATGTTTGTTAGGCGTACAGGTAGCAGTTGAGGAAGAAGGGTGGATGGTATTTGCGATGGATAACTATGATTATGGCATATTTTGAACGTAATGGTTGTGTACAGTGAAACCTCTACTTGAAGGCTAGTTATCAGCGTGATATCGTATGGTTCTTCTCAAGTTCTTGTTATTTGAGGGGACGACACTGGCCAGAGTGCGTTGGGCGTGTAAAAAGAACTTTTGGTTTTACTGGTGCAATAGATGTTCTACAAGGAGCAGTTGTTCGAAGGCCGATCTTCGCTTAACCCGGGTTTCTTTTGTTCAAAGAGCAGAGCAATAAAAGGGGGTGGTAGGCCTACACGACTTTTACCTCATGCCAAAATGATGCTTATTCCAATAAGGTTGTTTTTATCTGCTGGGTAGATTACGCTCTGGAAGGTTCTGCATTTATACTGAGCAAATGTGATTTTAACCGCATGTTTCACACTGAAAGGTCATGACATACATATCGATTGACTGTAGTTATTGTTTTCTGGTCGGCAGGATTTGCCCTCTGATGCAGGCGCATTTTCTTTGACCTCTTTTGAAGCGTAAAGCTTTTTTATTACGGCTGAATAAAGGTTCAAATTTTCTCCAAAGTGCCTTCTGGATCTGAATAACTAAGCGATTTTCTTTAGTCCGTGAGTGTAATGTTTTTTTGCAATGCTGTATCACGCTGGGCCCAGCTCGTCAGTTTTCTTTGCAGAATGTTAGATTATCACGGATAGTGACTTACAGATCCAAAATTATAAGAGTGAACTGCAGCTTAAACTGAAGCTACATAAACTTACTATGGAGAATTGAATTGTGACTCAGTAAACTCCAGCTTAGTGTTTTTCTAAAGATAGTGTGAGTCTTTTGACTGGAGCGCGTAGTTCCTCCCTTGGTAATAGCTTTGAATAAGCTAACAGTCTTTAAACTATTTTGTGATTGCGACAAGTTGTGATCAGGCAAGACCATGGTTTCGGTTCTCCACACGAACCTCATCAGTTGCCGGGTTCGTTTTGTGCTTAGTTGCTTTTGCAAGAGCAACTTTAGTTGTACTTTGTTGTGGCGAGAACGGTAAAGCCGTTCTGTCTATTGAGCTTTGAACTTGAACATAAATACTCACGTGGCGGATCGAAATTCTTGTTTTCCTATTGGCTTCTGAACGTACCCAATTTCAGAGTGTGTATTTCGAGCCTCTTCTGCTTCAAGCTAGAGGTGTGTTTTCTTGGATAGCATTTCGTGAAAATTTAAGCACTTTCTTTTATGGAAGAGTTCGAGGACTCTTGTAAATAAGTGCGCACAGAGTTTCCGTACACTCCCTCTAAAAACTGGAGTGGATACGTTCCTTGTTAGGTGCGCAATGTTGAACTTTCTACTCTGTGCTTGGTTCTTATTAGTGCCTGGGTAGATTATGCTCAGAGTAGAAAGTTCAGCATTGCGCACCTAACACCGAGCTAAACAACGCTATTTGATGCATGCACCAGGAATTGCACGCCTTTTTCCAAAGAAAAATGTGAAGGCTTAATCCAAAGTAAAATTTTACTCAGGGTGTAAACTTTCAGCAAACGTTTGAAAGATGAACGCCAAGGACACACGAATGACCACGTGAGTTAGAGCGTCAAAGTGAGGCAAAACGTAAGCAAGCGCCTCAAAACGAGGCAAATGTGTGTCGACACAAAATGCAATCTCAAAAAAGGCTCTCTTATTAATTGCACAGGTCCAATAATGCACAGAACACCCAACAGAAATTAGGGGTTGCTTTCTCTTACTTCGAACGCAATTATAGGCAACGGCTTAATACTATAACCTGAAAATATTTATATCCTTTCCAAACAGATCTCCTAGAAGCAACTTAATTCAAGATTTGCCTGACGGAATATTCGCCAACCTATCTGCTTTAACATTAATGTAAGGTGCATCATTATGTGTAATGGTTAAGAGTAACTAAGGCTAGAGCAAGCGCTACATTCTTAATAGCAAGGATCTGATGGAACCAAAGTGACATGAAGGGTTTAGTAGGTAGTATTATGGGATATTTCTACGAGTCAGGGTTTTGTTTTGGGCTGGCCCGTAGGGCGAGTCAAAATACAAGAGACGAGATAAAATATCCCTCGACAGGACTCACTAAACCGTCCTATAAGAGATTTATTATTCAACTCGAGGGGTATAAGATCAGCTCAGTAAATGTGGGCTCCTCTACATAACGAGAATGCGTTACACACTAACGGGACTCCTTTGAAAGTCCAGTTTTCGCTTTATGCAACGTTGTTGCTCATTGGTTGGAAATGAAAACTTGTCAAACAGGTTTACTTATTAAATAATTTTTTCGGGTTTTCGTCGAAACTTCGAGGTTCTATCTTTCAATCATTTGCCGGGAAAACAAAGGTAGAATGACAGATAATAATGAGGCTTATGATGGTCTCTCGGTTTTTACGTACAACCGAGCGACTTTAAGTAGAAAAAATTGACTAAAGCAAATTGCGATAGAAAGAAGAAAAATATCCCACAAATGCACGGAGTTTCATAGAGCTACTCGTAAACAAGGGACTTTAAAACTTATCGTCGCCACTTTGCTTCTTACTTATGGCAATTCGGCCACGAGAGCTTTACTTTTGACCGTGGCTTAATATATATACTACTTTGACAGTCATATGACCGCGTTCTCCTGTCCATACAGCAGTCTGTATTACTTGGAAAGTCTTCGCATTAGGCCCAGTTCAAACGTTGAACTTTTCATGTACTGAACTGAATAGCTATATATTAAGGTCGACCCATATGATAACAGTTCGACGATTGATTCAATCGGACTCAATTCACTTCACGATGTACATGGTCTACAATTTACCAGTGAAAATATAGTAATTTATGCATTAGGTTTGGAACATGAAAGAAAAGTTCAACGTTTGAAACGAGGTCACTCCCTTGTCGATATTCCCATGTGGGCCATTCGAACTTTAAATTCCTGGTCTTCCATGAACTTAATTGAAGGATTAGGTTCGTTACATGAAAAGTTCGACGTTTCACTGTAACTATAAGGAAGTCAGGGACCTTTCCCCCAATTTTTGTCCTTTCGGTTGTTTTTCCATTTTTATTTAGGTAAATTACTTTACGTTTTTTAAAATGTAAAATACTGAACTGTATATCGTTTATAACACGTTGGAGAGAGTCTGTTGTAACCGGAAATGTTTCATTTCACAGCGATTTGTCCTCAAACAGAATCAAGAACATTACACGTGGCGTATTTTTCAACAATAAACTTCTTCGCTTCGTGTAAGTTTATTTTACTTTTGTCATTTGAAAAGGAATTAGTCATTTATCTTACCCGGAGTAACTAATCCAAACATTTCGGTAATCGAACTATCGAACGATCGGTGCTATTGAGTTTAGTGATCGATCATGATAATAGAAGAGTGTCCAACTTCGCTTGGTTTCTGGGAACAAAACTAAACCTATTTTATTTATTTGACATGGAAATTTTTAACTTTTACCTATGTCTTCCCTGGATTCGCTTGAAAGTTATGGAATGATGCGAATGGATTGCAGATATAGTTGAAGGTTTTCAAATAGAGGTTGTCTGTACAAAACTCAAGTAAAAGTCACGGTACTGTCAATATTTCAACTGACTTCATAGGGCAATTATCTGAGTGAGGATCGGAAAGTTTGGGGAGCATTCCAACTGAAACCTCGATAAAGCTCCTCCCTTTGCAGTTTGACACCATATTCGTGTGCAGAAATTCTCGTTACTTATTAACCTTTGAAGACTGAGAAATGGAATTAACCCGACTGGTATATTAAAAAAAGGAAGAAACACTTTTCTTCTGGTTTACATATCTTGTGAGTTATACTTAGTCCCAATTTTCACCCACGTTAATAAGCTTAACAAATGGTTGTAAACAAGATCGAATGGCGAAAGGACACCATTGTAGATTATTGATGTTTGGAGTTTTATTTCTTACCTTTTTGCTCGACTTCTGGTAATACTTAGGCTACTGTTAAGCTTGATAGTCTTATAAATACATAAGTTTTCAATTAGTTCAATGAAACTTATGGCGTTTATGTTTGTTAGGTCAGGTACTATAAGAAAGGGGGTGCCAAGAAAAATATTAAATAATTCAATGACCACAACATCGGTTCACTGATCACAAATCACTTCAATAATCCAAGTTTCATTCCATAAACGAGCCTGAACTGTACCATAGATTTATAAGTGCGATTTAAGGCAGTGGAAAGGGAAAGGGTGGTCCTTACTTAATTAACTCAGTGGCGATAAATAAAATATCGGTACAGTTCAGTTTTCATTGTAGTTCAATAAGGACACAGTAGTTCAATGACCACAACACAAGTTTTGTAAGCAACAAGCTTATTGTGTTTCCGTTTATTGGGTCAGGAACTATGAAAGAGGGGATGCCAATGCAAGGGAAAAAGGATTAAATAATTCAGTGACCACACATCACTTTAATGACCACAAATCAGTTCAATAATCAAAGTTTCATTCCATTAACTAATCGTGACTGCACCATAGAGTACTAAGTGCTATTTAAGGCATTGGAAAGGGAAAGGGTGGGGGTTTAAAGACAGTGGTGGACTGTGGACATATTAAAGTTGTGTTTCGTGCCATCTCCTCGAAGTTTGAGTCTTTGAAGTCGCAAAACTTGCTTTGTGAAGACATGTCAGACTGGGATGGATATAACTGTTATAAACAAAGAAAATAATGCTTCGTTTACTAAGTAATCTTTAACAATTTTTTTATGATAATGATGTGGGAGGATAATATGCGAATTAAGTAGTTTTCAAACGAGAACAAGGTTGATAAAATTGTAACAAGTGTCATAATTTTATTTATTTTTTTATAAAAGACGGCACAAGAAAAAAACAGACAAAAGAAAATCAGTTTCAATCTTCTATGTCTGAAACTGGTGGTCATAGAAAAAATATTGCTTGCAGCATGTTTACAATCTTACTTGGAGATAGTATCCTTACAAATCAAAACAGCTTGAGATTGAAATTAATTTTCGTAGACAGAACGACTTGAAAACTAAAATTACGAGGACTTTTTTGGGACTTTTAACATTTAGGGCATGAATTTTTCGTCATTGTAGGTCATGGAGCCTAAAAATGTGCCTAGCTAGCCGTAGAGACGAGCAATACGTCATAGCAGGCATAATCATTGGCTGATTAAGGAAAATTCCCTCATCAATGTCAGAGAATTCTGTATTTTAAAGCCTCCCCTTGGGCATGACTCAGCAACTGAGGACATTTCTGCTATGTTTTTAATTTTGGTTAGCATGCAAGGATTTTTCCCATGCCTATTGTCAATGATTTGCTCACTGGTAATAGAGGGACTGACGCCAGAGTGTTTTTGTTGTCTTTGCATTTAAATTGGCATGCAACGGAAATTTGCATTCCCTTAAGCATATTTTGATGTTCCGTGACCTTCTCACCAGCGCCGAGAGAAGCCTAGGTTCTAATAAGGAATTCATACCCAGCATGTCCTGCGTGCCAAAATCTCCGGCGTGCCGGGCATGCCAAATTCTCGGGCATGCCGGGCATTTCAAAGTCTGCGGCACGTCGGGCATGCCAAAATCAGTCTCTGGCATGCTCTAAACGCACAGGTTAGTTCCTTGAATATTACATCTATTTTAAGCCTGGCCAAAAAAAAAATAAACAGATCGCCGTGCTTATCTTTTGATGTACAGGTTATAGGTCATTTACACGATTACGTCATTGCTATTCCTTTCATTTTTATAAATTTGGTAATCCCAACGAAGTTTAAATAACAAAAGCTCTAATTTACATAAGAAAGCAAAACGTTGAAGGATTCTGGTTGTAGTAATAAAATAGCTTCGTCGTGCAGATGACCCCTTGGGGGATGGTAGATCTTTGAATGCAAGCGAAGTATTTTATTTTTTGCATAAATAATGTTGTTTTGTTGTCTTTTTTAAATAAATCCAGCTTGTTCAAGAACTTCTGTCTTCAGTTTTGCCAGTCGATCCCGTGACATACTTGTTGATTAATGATTAATTTTGCGCCAAAAACGAAACGCAACGTATGTATCTGGGACATCGCAAGAAATCTCGAACCAAATTTCGACAAATTTTTTGTGCTAATTACCTGAATATGTTTCGTTAATGGTTGAAGCTGCTGTCACATCCGGTCTTGTACGGGCTCATTGTCACGATACACATACACGACAGTATTTACAGTAAAAAAAGGTGGCCACTGAACGAAAATATTGTCGATTGTTCTGAAATGTGTTCAAAATGGATGAAATTATCTCTCGAACGAGAGGTTTTGCATGAAGTTTTCATTAGCCTTGGAGTCCTTACTGAAATGTACGTTGTTTTCAAAGTTAAAAACCGAAAGAAATTTTAATCGGCAAGTATAAAATGTAACTGGAAGAAAAACATTGAGTGTTCCGACTACATTTCCGATACCCCTAAAGGTAAGTAGTATTCAGGTTATAGCATTATAAAGTGAAAATTCTTGCGTTCTGCGTTAAGTAGGTTATAGCATTATAAAGTGAAAATTATTGCGTTCTGCGTTAAGTAAGGTCGTAGAATATATACTCTTCAAATCTCGAAAACCGAACCGAAATTAAGGGTTCTAATGACAATTGATCGAGGCTTACAAACAAAGACCGACTGTACGCAATCAAAAGTAGTTATCCCCAAAGCCGATAATTTGAAAACCTTTTCAGAGAACAGATTAACAAAAAATGTCCTATATGTCTTCTTCTTCTCACTTCGTAACTGCGCATGTCGGTTCAAAATTTCTGGCGATGACTCTCTTCCCTACCCTCTGTACGGGCGGACGCGTATGTTGACGTCCTAACCAACTTTTCTGGCATCAGGTAGCCGTAAGATGGCCAAGCAGGGACTCTAGGCGCTCAAGCCAGTCAGAGTTTCTAAAAATACGTGTAGATCTAAATACATCACTTCAGCAAGTGCTTTGCTGTGCTTGCTACGACCTCGGATCTCGACCGGCAAAATGCTCAAGATCAAGTTGAAGGTCTTCAATATCTTTCCGGTGTTTGAAGTTGATGTCGTTTCGAATATATGCACCGGCACCACCGCCTTTTATTGATTCTCGGTTCCGAAAAACTGTACTATAACCCGGCACAGACACGAAGTCCAGTAAGGAGGGATTGTCTTTCAGCCTCGTCTCGCTTAGTGTTATAACATTCAGTGGATATTCATTAATCGTAATAACGAATTCATCACACGTCGAGACCATGCTCTAGGTATTAAAGGTGCATAATCCGTAAACACTGCATGTGACACTCTGTTGATTTAGCCTAACTGTTTTTTCACATTCCTCACATTTTGCGGACTTCTGTTTAGCAAGAGATCCGGTATTCACGGAGATGTCTCCGCCACGCAGAAGGGTCTGGCGGGATGTACTGGAGTTAGCGTAGTATAAGCAAGGACAATGAGTTCTTCTTGGCTTTTGGTGGATGAATAGACGGCTTCTGGGATAAATTAAAGAAAACACGCATAAGCCATTGTATTTCCGTAAGTTGACGAACATTTGCATGTCGGTCCTGCATCAGTGAGCTCAGGGAACAGTAAGGCTTGATCAGACAATACAAAACATGGTTGCAAAAGTGTGTCATTAGCATTGCAAATTCTTTGCGTTGGTTTGGTCAAGTTCAAGTACTATGCGAGAAACAGACTTCCAAGGCTGTTTCTAGATAGATAGATAGATAGATAGATAGATAGATAGATAGATAGATAGATAGATAGATAGATAGATAGATAGATAGATAGATAGATAGGTAGGTAGGTAGGTAGGTAGGTAGGTAGTTTCAACATTGCTGGTGGGCATACAACAGTTACAAGAAAAATAAGAAGTACTGAAAACAAATGTACAATTAAAAATTAAAAACTGTTAAAAATATTTGTAACCGACATCTCTGTTTTCAGTTGTAGCTAAAATAGGTTGTGCAAATGTACAATTAAAAATAAAAACTGTTAAAAGTATTGGTAACCGATATCTCTGTTTTTAGTTGTAGCTAAAATAGGTTCGAAATTCATTTTATCAGTATAAAATTTTGCAAGACAGCGTTTAAATTCTTTCAAGGTTTTAGCCCTGGTTTCCTTGTTCGTGAAACTGTCCCATGCGATTGATCCTGTATAGCGTGTAGATTTTCTTAGAAAATTCATTTCTGGTCTTGGAAGAATACATGATGTTTTCATT